AGGTGTCATGATCTCATGGTTCATGGGTTTGAGCCCCGCGTCGGGCTCTGTGCCGACAGTTCAGAGCCTGGAGCCTGCTTCAAATTTTCTCTCTTCCTGTCTCTCTGCCGCTCCCCTGCTCGTTCTCTGTCTCTTTGTTTCCCTCTCAAAAATAAATAAACATTAAAAAAAAAAAAAAAGAGGAAACCTGAAACAGCATTGAGTTTCCCCTATGGAAAGAACATCATCAAAAAATAGGAAGGTCATCCATCCAATAGCAGTAAATGCAAGGAGCCCACGAATAGACCTGAAGGGTTAGAACAATCCTTCCTTCTCCACAGGGATAAAGATAAGACCCTCCATGGGGTGGAAACTCCTAGGATGCAATAAGAATTTTGCAGGACAAGGACAAGAGAAATGTGGAAAAGAGAAAAGACAGAGAAAAGAAGGAAAAGAGAAATTTCAGTAGGCAAGCTTGCATATTTTAACATACTCACAAAAAACAGAAGGCATTGTTAAGTGAACTGGCAAAAGCGCTCCTTTTGGATGCCGAGGAGAAGTAAATTCACATAAGAATGTGCATTAGAAAAGAATCATGGTTGGGGAGCCTGGGTGGTTTAGTCCGTTAAGTGTCGGACTCTTGATTTAGGCTCAGGTCATGATCTCACCGTTTGTGAGTTCGAGCCCTGCATCGGGCTCTGTGCTGACAGTGCGGAGCCTGCTTGGGATTCTCTCCCCTCTCTCTCTGCTCCTACCCCACTTGTCCTCTCTCTCTCAAAATAAATAAACTTAAAAAAATTTTTTTTTAAAGAATCATGGTTGAAAACTATCAAAGTTATCGTCAGAAGAAAATTGAGCAAGAAGTAGAGTAACATCCCTACAGACAACAAAAGCACGCCACAAAGACATGCCCACAAAACACACCCGAGCCAGAGCCTATGATTTCAAAACAAGCTAAAGACATCAAGAGAATGAAGGCAGACTAAATCAGGACTAGGGAAACTCAGAAATGAAGCAACAACTCAGGAAAGAATTGGAAATAAGAGAAGAAAAATGAAGAAACAGAAACCAAAAGGACCGTGAAAGGAAATAAACGATCTTAAAATCAAAAAGAAATGGAGGAAAGGTAAAATGAGCTTCAAAGAATATGACAAATATGGAGGATAGGCAAGAATATCTTACAGATAACAGGAGTCCCTAAAGATGAAAAGTAATAGCAGAGAACAATTCTAAAACCTGTAATTCAAGAAGGTTTTTCTGAAATAAAAAATGCACTTTTCAAAAAATATTTGAAGCATATTGAAAGCACTCCCTATGTACCTGAGAATATTAATTCAGAATGTTCAGCATTAAGACACATTCCAGTAAGATGATGAGATTTTTAAAGAAAAATGCTAAGAAAATATATTTGGGCATCTAGGCAAAAAGTGATTTATGAGGGAAAAATATTGATATTGTAGGAACTAGGGCAGGCCACCCCAAGATGGGCTACTTTGGCACGAAGATTATTGTGAGTCGAAAAAGCAATCAAAACCCAGCAGATACATAAAAAAAAAAAAAAAGCTCTTTACTTCCCCCACAAGTGCCTAAAAAGAATTCGAGGACCTGTTCTGGGAAGGGAGCTATCACCACAGATCACCACATTATACTACCGGGTGTGGTTGACAAGAAGGAGCCTAGCAAGACCTGTTGACCAAAGTCCTCTATGTCCCATGTGTCCGAGTGGCTCAGCAAACATTTGTTTACCAAGCATTTACTCTTTTACATTATTCCTGAGGATTGTATGTCTTCCCCTAAAGTCCCGGACCCCTACCCCCTTGAGGGACACATGCACGCCTCATTCTGAGTGTCTTTGGAATCTCCGTGTTTCTGTGGATTCCCCGTTAAGTACACTGTTACATTTGGTTCTCCCCTGTGGATCTGTCCCATGTCAATTTGATTCTTAGTCCAGCTAGAAAGACCTTGAAGGGGACAGGAGTTCTTGCTCCCTGACAAGATTATCGTCCGACTTTGACAGGAGAAAACAGAGTATACCTACTCTGATTTCATGAGGAAAGAAAATGTGACCAAGGATTTTTATATGCAGCAAAATGGAATTTCAAGTGTTAGAGTCATAGACAACTGTTATCAACATGCAAGAATTCAGAGAATTGAGTTCCCATGATTTCTTCCAGAAAACAAGCTTTGGACAATTGAAGGGACGAGGGAGAGACATTGATGTAAAAGCATTGGTGGTGAACATCGGAGATACAGTTCCTTTTGAACTCAGACCAAGTTCTGGTTAAAAGAGAGAGTATGGTATGTAATAGCTATGCACCCTGACAAAATAGATGTAGAACAACTTTTTTTTTTTTAAATAGAAGAATGGAGAGCACAATGCAAAAACAAATTGCTGTTTTCAGTAAGCATATTGCTAACAAAGGTATTTATGGTGTTACTCTAACACTTTTGCATGTATAACAGGAGATAAGGCAACTTAATAACTGTGGGATATTCTAATATATCAGGCCCTGTGCCCCTGATACCAGGACTCTTGGTGTGGAAGAAAGGAGATACAGACAGGGGTATGCTGAAGCCATGTGCGCTGTTCCAAAATCCACAAGCGGTGACATCACACTGGTAACATCACTTGGAATCAGCCATGCTGGGGGTGCGTACCCCACTGTCGGGGAGGAAGAATATCCTGCCCCCTTCAAGGTCTCTCTAGCTGGACTAAGAATCAAATTGACATGAGACAGGTTAACAGAAGAAAGTCAAACTTAATGTCGTATGCCCTGGGAATCCACACAGACATGGAAATTCCAAATGAGGTATATATGTCATCCTGAACTAAGAAGAAAGCAGTAAGGGTCTGGGACTTCAGAGGGAAGGCATGCAATTCACATACCTTTGCCTCACCATACACGTGGGTCACTCAGATAAAGTTTATCTCTGGTAAGAATTCTTATTCTTGGAAAGAGCCCCAACTGAGATTCTTCTACATAGTTAAGGGAGGGGCAAAAGTTTCTCTTGAGCCCACAGGGTCTCCATCACCTTCAGCCCAAGATAGTCCACAGGCGAAAGGGATACATTTGGGGGAACCTGCCCCCAACCTCTTCGCTATGGAAACTTGTGAAGGAGACCAGAACATGCCACTTTGGCATAATGATTATTTTTACCTTGAAGGCACTGAGAAACAACAAACACGGCAAGAGTCTACACCACCACACCCCATCTGGCTAAAAGCAGGGCATACCTTTCACTTCCATTCGTAATGGAAATTTCCATTTTTAAAGATGTCCCCTTCTCCTGTACTGGAAGACAAGTCACCTGAGACTGCCTAACAAACCTTACTAGTATATACTTCTCCTAGTCATCTTCCCACAATTTACCAAATCCCCAGTTTGCTTTGTCTAGTGTCTACCCCACAATTATCATCCTTTTTTAAAATGACATACAAGCCCCAGGCCTAACTGCTTCTCCGAGTTTTTACTTCCTTTCTGAGAAGGCGCTGTGTGCCTGCAAAATAAACTTTTTTCCTGTTACTCTGTCTCATAGCTTTAATTCACAGGCCCCACTCACAGAACCTCAGAGAATAGAGGAAAAAGATGGTTGTTTTTTGGTTTTTTGGTTTTTGGTTTTTTTGTTTTGTTTTTGTTTTTGTTTTTTCTTTACTCCACTAGAGTTTTGACTATCACAAAGGACAGGTGGGACACCTCAATCATTTTAGAGGTTGTAACTGAGAACTCAGGATGTCTGACAAAGCTGGCGAAAAGTAAAAATTCATACCAAGTCAGCCTCACAGATTTCTGATCAAATGGGGACAGCAAGAGCCCCTCTTTATCTATATTTGGATTAGCAGGAGGGAACACTTGGAAGAACCAGTTCTTTGGGTATTACTCTTGGGTGACTCTTGGTTTTGAGAACTCTTTGGTTATTGATCCTTGCTCTTCTGAGGACAGCCATTGCTTTCCTTATTGTCCATTTTGTGTCAGGCTGTCAGACCTGCATCTGCAAACAGCCAACCTTCAGGTTGGGGAATCCCAAGAACTTGTAGTTGACCACACAGAGATGTGGGCTGCACTCCACTGTTGCTGATATCCTGCTGACTATTGCCAGAGATCAGGAAGCTCACTTAAGTCTTTCTTTCTTTCTTTTTTAATTTTTTAAAATGTTTATTTATTTTTGAGAAAGACAGAGCGTGAGCAGGGGAGGGGCAGAGAGAGAGGGAGACATAGAATCCGAAGCAGTCTCCAGGCTCTGAGCTGTCAGCACGAGCCCGATGTGGGGCTCAAACCCATGAACCCCACGTGAGATCATGACCTGAGCTGAAGTCGGAAACATAACCAACTGAGCCACCCAAGCACCCCAAGTCTTTCTTTCTTCTGGCTGCCTTTGGGAGCAGGTCTAGATCATGGTAGCTGCGTCTTTTGTACCCGCTTTGGAAATCCTCTTGGGTCCCTGGTTAAGCTATAAAAAGGCAAAATTATTGACTTTGGTTTTGAGTCACATTTGTAATAGGTATACCTTTGGAAAGAAACAAAGTGGGAGGGTCGATACTGCCAGGAAAATTCAACGTTTGTCTTCACCAAACCTGATAATAATATATTTGAAAGGATTTTTTTAAGAGTCTGTGGTCAGAAGTTGCCCAATTGGAGGCCAGCATTCAGGGCCCAAGAGGAGCTGTTTTTAAGGCCTCCTCACCTATGAATAACTGGGCTAAAATGGAACTATGTACTCAGAGGAAAAGAAAACAAACTCTAGCCTTTGTGGAATGACTTAAAAACATCCCAAAAGCACATAGCTATAAATCTGGAATTTGGGAATCCTCAGATTTTCATCTTAGTCGGAAATCTTTCTGAAATAAAGAAACAAATTCAAAACGATGTAGTTGGATGAGAGTCACCCCCTTGCTATTATCAGTGAGGTGACCGAATTCTTTGAGGAATTAAAAACAACTGACCCCATCTTACTAATCGAATCTTTACAAAGACGGAAAGTGACACCCTAGAAGTAATTCAAAGCCCAGACATCCTTCTTACCAAGTCCCACATCTCCCTTGTTCATCTGAAGACTCTTGCAGATACTGTGAAAGGTCAGGACATTGGAAATGGAACTGTTCTGCACCTAAGAAAAAAACAAAAGGGGGGAACTTTTTAAGTAACAGTTGCCCCAAACCTCTGATGATAGGAACTGTTGTTTCAAGAAGCCAAGAAACCTCTCTGAAATGGAAACTTCCAAGGAGGTTACTGTTGGTCCCTCAACTGAAGGGCTCCTTACTCTAACTCCCAAAAATGAACTAGATATTTTATCCACTCAGATGAGCTTTTAAAATCCTCAATCTGTTGGTGTTTCCAAAAGAGCTCTTGCCTAAAATTCAGTCCACAGCCTCTATCATTACATATCAGGGCAAATGAAAGTCTTCCCCCCAAATATTGGTAGGCTTCATTGAGCAGGTAGCCTAAACCTGTTCCACCTGCCAGAAACACAGTTTGGATCCAGCCATTTTATATAAACCTGTGGGGTTTGAATGCTATGTTGGCCTGACTCACGGCTAAAATTTTAGGACGCAAGCTTTAAGATTCTTGTGTCTGTCTGCATGTTTGTGTCTATGTATGTACGATGCGTGTGTGTGGCATTTTCTCCCTCCAGAGGGTATTGCCAGAATTAATCTAAAATCCCATATAATCGGGGCGCCTGGGTGGCGCAGTCGGTTAAGCGTCCGACTTCAGCCAGGTCACGATCTCGCGGTCCGTGAGTTCGAGCCCCGCGTCAGGCTCTGGGCTGATGGCTCAGAGCCTGGAGCCTGTTTCCGATTCTGTGTCTCCCTCTCTCTCTGCCCCTCCCCCATTCATGCTCTGTCTCTCTCTGTCCCAAAAATAAATAAACGTTGAAAAAAAAATTAAAAAAAAAATAAAATCCCATATAAGAGATCTATTTTAATTGGCTTAGAAAAACACAAGCAGTTACACCAATTAGATATTGCTAAAACTTTCAGAAAAATTGGAACTAATCCAAGTACCTTTTAAGTTCACGTGAACTGGAATCATCTTTGGAAAATGGGGCTAATTAAATATTACTGGTTTAATGAAAACAGGCATGTCTTCAGAGTCGTCAGCATTTAGGATAATGGAGGCATGTGTTTATATTCTACTTGGGTTTACTACTCAAATAAGCTTAAGTTATTTCTACTAGATATTTAAGATTGTTGAATTCATGAAACAAGGAGGCCATCACACTGAAATGACTCTAATGCTCTTGGCAGCTCACCTAAGCAAACTAAAACCAAGGTCTATAAATAGCTCAAGGTTGTGAATTTGAAACCTAAGGACAACCAAGCACCAACAGCCAACTAGACTTTACGCTGTAAACAATCAGTGATTTTCTGACTTGGTTTCCACACCTTCTCTGAGTCTTTCCCCAGGCTCCTGTCCATAGAGTGCCTTCTAACCCCTTCCAGTTTGATGCTTCCCCATCTGAATAGACTTTTGCTCAAATAAACTCTTTTCTTTTTTTTGTTGAGGTGGAGTCATCACACAACATTACAATAGGTTCAGGTGTACAACATAGTGATTAAACAACTCTATATACATTATGCTATACTCACTGTGAGTGGAGCTGCCATCTTTCACCAGACAACATATTACACTACCATTGGCTATATTCCCTGTGCTGTACCTTTCATTCCCCCATTACTTATTCATTCCATACCTGGAAGCCAGTATCTCCCACACCCCTTCAACCATGCTACCCCTGCTCCACCCCCTTCCCTCTGGCAACCATCAGTTTGTTCTCTGTATTTACGGATCTGTTTCTGGGTTGTTTCTTTGTTTTCTAGATTCCACATATAAGTGAAATCATACGGTATCTGTCTTTCTCTGTCTGACTTCTTTCACTTAGCGTAATATCCCCTGGGTCTATCCATGTCGTTGCAAATGGCAAGATCTCATTCTTTTTTTTTTCACAGCTGAATAATATTCCATCGTAAATATATGCCACATCTACTTTATCCATTCGTCTATAATCGCTTCTTGGCCTTTTGGCTAAGATCAAGTGTAGTATCCATTCGTCTATTGATGGACACAGGTTGCTTCCATATCAAATAAACTCTTAACATTTTTAATATGCCTCACTTCATCTTTTAACAAGATCATAAAATTACAATTTATCCTAAGAATAAAAAATAGAGCAAATTAATTGTCTGATGTATGTCAAACACAGCAATTAAAAAAAAA